ACCAAATGGGACAGCTAGAAGTAAGTTAGACCGATTCCTCATATCAAGTGAGTGGCTCACAACTTGGCCCGGAAGCACACAATACATCTTGCCAAGAAATATTTTTGATCACTGTCCGATCGTAATGAAGAATGTTTTATTGGATTGGGGACCAAAACCTTTTAGGACTTTAGACTTTTGGTTTGAAGACAAAAATTTCCGAGGAATTTTTGAAAGTATATGGAAGGAATTAAGTGTTACAGGTTCGGGAGCATTCATCTTGAAAGAAAAACTTAAAGGTCTAAAAGGAAAGCTGAAATCATGGAATAAGGAGTCATTTGGTGATGTTCAAAAACAATTACAACAGACTCAGAGGTCCTTAAATGAACTTGACAGAGTACAAGACTCTAGAGAATTAGAAGATGACGAGAAGAAAAATAAAAAGGAACTGCAAGAATTGTTTTGGGCATTAGCAACACGCAATGAATCGCTGCTAAGACAAAAGTCTAGGGTCAAGTGGCTGGAGGAAGGTGATTGTAACTCTAAGTACTTTCATGATTCCATCAACTGGAGGAGAAGGAAAAATACAATCCGGGGGCTAAATATTGGTGAAGTGTGGACAGAAGAGCCGAAGCAAGTGAAGGAGGAAGTATTAAAATTTTTCAAACACAAATTTTCTGAGACTCATTGCCAGAGACCAACACTGGGGTGTGCGATTTAATCAACTATCAGATGTAGACAATTTGGCCCTAATAGCACCATTTGCAGAGACTGGCATAAAAGAGGCAATTGGGGAATGCGGGAGTTCTAAGAGCCCGGGTCCGGATGGTTTCAATTTCAAATTCATCAAGGAATTTTGGGAAATTATGAAGGCAGATATTGTTAGATTTATAAATGAGTTTCATCAATTTGGTAGATTTCCTATAGGGTCAAACCCATCATTTGTTGCTCTTATCCCAAAAAAGTTGGACCCCCAAGACTTAAGCGAATTCAGGCCTATCTCTCTTATCGGATGTATGTACAAGATTTTGGCAAAAATCCTTGCAAAAAGACTCAAGCCAGTCTTGTCAAAGGTGATTGATCAGTCACAATCTGCGTTCCTTGGTAATAGGAATCTACTCCACAACGTCTTGGTTGTTAATGAGATAATTGACGAGGCAAAAAAGAAAAGAAAACCTTGCCTTATATTCAAAGCTGATTTTGAAAAGGCTTATGACTCAGTAAACTGGGAGTTCCTAGCATACATGATGAAGAGGTTGGGGTTTTGTCAGAAATGGATACTGTGGATAAAAGAATGCCTTCATACTAGTTCTGTTTCGGTCTTGGTTAATGGTAGCCCAACAGGTGAGTTCCAAGTGCATAGAGGGTTGAGGCAAGGAGACCCACTAGCCCCTTTCCTATTCATTATTGTGGCTGAGGGTCTCTCAGGTCTCATGAAAAGTGCAAGTCTGAATGGAAAATTCAATGGCTATCATGTTGGGGCAGAAAACATCCCAGTCAGCCTCTTTCAATACGCTGATGATACAGTTTTTCTAGGAGAACCCTCTATTGATAATGTGGTCACAATAAAGAGTGTTATGAGATGCTTCGAACTTGTCTCTAGGCTGAAAGTAAATTTTCACAAAAGCTGCTTTGGTGCAACAAGAGTGGATATGAACACAGTAGAAAAATTTGCAGACTTACTAAACTGTAAAATTATGACACTTCCGTTTAACTACTTGGGCATACCTATTGGGGCTGTGGCGAGGAGGAGAGCAACATGGAAACCAGTAATAGATAAAATCAAGAACAAGTTGGCAGGATGGAAAAATAAGACAATCTCTTTAGCAGGCAGAATCTGTTTAATAAACTCTATTCTATCAGCTATACCCCTGTACTTTCTCTTTTTTTTTAGGCTGCCTAAAACAGTTCTAAAGGAAATTATTAGTATCCAAAGAAAATTCATGTGGGGTATGGATGATAAGGAGACAAAGATTTGCTGGGGAAAAGGTAACAATGCCAAAAAATAGGGGCGGACTGGGAATAAAAGATCTGGATAGCTTCAACATCTCAATGCTTGCAAAGTGGAGATGAAATTTTTTCCACCAAAGTGACAGTTTGTGGACTCAAGTTCTAAGGTCTAAATATGGTGGGTATGCAAGCTTACTAGATGAACAACATAACTCACAACCTAGTCACTGCTCAGAGTGGTGGATAGATATAAAGAAAAGTTGCGGGGGAGAGGACAAGCTGAAGTGGTTTAATTCAACAATGAGATGGAAACTTGGGGATGGAAAAGAAATAAGATTTTAGCAAGACAAGTGGCTAGGCGATCAAATTTTACTAGAAGCATTCCCATGTATATTTGTCAACTCAAACCAACAACAAAATAAGGTAGCAGATATGGGAACATGGGAGGGACAAGAGTGGAGATGGTGTTTTCAATGGAGGAGAAACTGGTTTGACAGGGAAAATGAACAGTGGGCTTCTTTTCAACTGTTAATCGCCCGAGCTAAATTGCAAAAATAGATCAAAGACTCCTGGTCCTGGCCTATAGAGAGCTCAGGGATGTATACAGTCAATTCGGCATACAAAGTCATTCACAATATGAGGTACCCCGGATTGGTGAATATTAGCTTTCAAAAAATCTGGAAATTAAAAATTCCTCCAAATTAAAGGCGGTCACATTGATGTGGAGATTAATACATAATGCCTTGCCCACTATTGACAATCTGCAAAGAAGAGGTCTAGGATTAGATAGTGATGACAGTCATTGTGTACTATGTAATGAACACCCAGAGACAGCATCCCATTTGTTTCTTTCTTGTAAGGTAGCAGATCATGTATGGAAATACTGTCATGCGTGGGGCTCAATATCATCAATACTTCCTCAATCAGTCCCACAACACTTCCTTCAGTATGCGCATCTCTATTATAATCAGGAAGAAAGAGAAAAATGGGATACCATTAGAAGTGCCACCACTTGGTGCATATGGCGGGCTAGAAATAACAAAGTATTTAGAGGAAAGAACATTGTGGTGGAAGAGCTAGAAAACAACATAACATTCACTTCTTGGTCCTGGTTAAGATTAAATAAAAAGAGTTTCAGCTTCCACTATGATCTGTGGTCAGCTAATCCTGCAGCTTGCCTAATGACATAGTGGTTAAATTATCGAGATGGTAGTGAGAATGCAATATTGGTGCAACCTGTGGCCTAATTGTATATCAATCCAGACAAGACATTAAAGACTGTGCAAACATTGGAAAATGTCTTACATTGAAACAGGTCACATGCAAGAAATACAACCTGCGAGGTTGGGGGATCTGTTAAAAGTGGAGGGGTTCGGGGTACGAATTAGGGCGATAGAGCTATTAAGTAAGGGGTGGGAGTCAAAGCATGTACATATGCGGGGGAGTGAGGGTACAAAACATATGTTGTCAACTAGTTGGGAAGAAGTGTTATATTCAAGTAAGAAAAGGACACCGTGTATTTGTACGTTCATATAGTATTATTAATAAATATTCTCTTTGCTGATAAAAAAAAATATTTAGAGAATTTATGAGATGAAAATCTAATAGATTCGACGAAGGAGTGGCCGTTGATATTTGGACTTCGATAAATAAATTGTACTATGTAGATTACTTCAATAGCCTGTATCTATTAAACAACACAACACGCGGCGAAACTATTCCCCCTCTCAAAGCAAACTTCCATCCTCCCACCAATGGTCATATAAAGTCGTATTATAAATATATATATTCCTACCTATTAATCTTATACATCGCTTCTATTCTTTATATATCAATTTATAAATATCATATTTTATAATATATATTAAGAACAACAAATTTCCTAGTTATTTATTTACTTGAATATACTTTTTATCTTATAAATAAATAAATATCTGGTACCTATTAAAAACCTTACTCAAGCATTAGTTATTAAACGAGGCGTAAAATTCACGGGTGTCATGGAACTAGTTACCAAGTTTCACACGGTGTGTATTACTTTAACTAAAACTCCATTTACAAAAATAAAATAAAATCAATTTAACAACAACCAAAAATTTAAAAAAGAAAAAGAAAAGGAAGGGCATTATTATTGTTCTGTAATTATTGGAGGCAGCTAATAGTTAATATAATACTTTTAATCGTACTACAGCAAAAAATAATTGAGAAAGATCAATCAATTCCTAAAGATGTTCAATATCCAACAGATTAGGATATCTATCTGTCCAAAATAACAGATTAGGATATCTTCAAAAAATATTTAGTAAAGACTTTTGAGCTTCATCTCTACGGCTGTAAATTAAAGTTCATACACTAGGGGGGGAAATTTGTAACCTTTATATTAAGTTGAAAGATTTTTCCAAAATGAATATATATTAAATTGAAAGATGCAAGACAAGACTTGACACCATAGTAAAATCATAGAGAGTGTATTTTAAGATTATTTAATGAAAAGTAAAAAATAGTTAAAATCAACTAATGAATGGCATCCGCAGGTACATCAGTCACATAAATTTGCATTGTAAACACTAAATGCGTGATGGTTGGAATTTGACGAGTATATTGCTTTTGAGTCTTCATTTCCGTAACATTGGCAGCTAGAAACCTTGACATCTTGCCTTCTAGTTCTAGATTAACAATATTTTATATAAGATTGCTCTATAAAATTGATCTGTTCTTCTCTTCGTTGAAAAGGAACTTTGGACCAATAATTCAACTTCTAGATAGACAGTACTCGGTTACAAAAGAAAAAAAAAAGTTGCAATAATAGATCTAGGATCATTTTATCTTTCATTTTTATGCTCCAAATTAAACACAAGCTGAAGCCCCTCTCTTATAGTTAAGTCAAGTGTTATTTATTATCAAGCTATATATAGTTTCAACATTATTGTATTCATTAACAAGCTATAATCTATTCGATGACTTTTCAAATTGAAGATCTTTACACAAAGATAATAGCAAACAGCGCTGCAAAACCTTACAACTCCTACAAAATCATCTCTATAACCAAAGTATCTTTGGAGAAACTCTTTCACTGTCTTATTTGTCATTTAGTTTTACTGTGCTTGTCACATCCCAAATTGAGATGTAAAAAACAATTCACTGTCACCATTACACCATGTGTCAAAAAAACAAACCAAACTAAAGAGGACCACTGTTGTTTCCATGGTTTGAAAAGGAGGCTTGCTCAATTCTGCTACAAGTGCTTCATTCCACCTAACATATGGCATACATATCTATTTTTTCAGCACTAGTTTGAAAAAATATTTTTACTAAATAAATAAGAATGTTGAGTAACACCACAAAACAACTTCCCTATACGTAGTTAGGAATTTTTGTATATATCAGCAAAGTCGATGTTCAAATCTATTTCAAATGCCAAAAGTTGTAATTTCCATCATCCAAGTTGCATGGTTGTATCCATCTTTAATTTTTCTACCACCTTCAATTCTCGGCTTGAAAGCAAAATTAGAAATAATGCAATATCAGTAACATGTATCAACAACTATAAATGTTATTTGGGATGCATTGCATATATGTTGATCATTTTCTCATACATGCCTTACCTCAAAATACTCAATTTGGCGGTTAGGATGACGACTCAATGGCCCAACACACATTTTCCTCTGTTGAGAATCTAAATCAGTATATATTATTTGAGTTTGTTTCAGATTAATAGAACATTATTAGAATTCCTACAGTTATGAATTTTTAATTATAGGAATTATAGGTACTGTTACACTTTTATGAGTATTTACATTTGTCATTTAGTTTTATATTTATGAGCAGAATTTGTATCAGCTTTCAATTATGTTTTGCGTATTTAAAGGTTGCAAGTATGAATAAAAACATAGTTTCAGCCTTCTAATTTTTTTGAATCCCTACAATTGGTATCAAAAGCTTATTTTGTTCTTGAGGGACCTGGTAAGGTTGAGAGTTCCACTAAACACCTAAACACTTATGATTATTCAGCCCAAACACTACCAGTATTTGATGGTGAGAATTATCACCTATGGACAGTCATAGTGAAGGCTTTTCTTGATGCAAATGATTATTGGGAAGCTATTGAGGAGGATTATGAGGTTGGTCAATTACCAGAAGATCCAACACTTAATCAAATCAAGTATCATAAGGAAAGAAATCAACGAAAATCAAAGGCAAAAAGTCTTGTTTATTTTCTGCTGTTCCTCAATCAATCTTCACCAAAATTGTGACTCTAAAGTCAGCTAAGGCTATCTAGGATTTTCTCAACCAAGAGTATGAAGGAAATGAGAGAGTCAAAGGGATGCAAGTGCTGAATTTGATCAGAGAGTTTGAGATGTAGCGGATGAAGGAGTTAGAAAGGGTGAAAGAATATTCTGACAGACTTCTAAACATTGTAAACAAGGAGAAGTTGTTTAGGACAGAATTTTCCGATACAAGGATAGTGCAAAAAATCCTTGTGACTCTTCTTGAGAGGTTTGAATCCATTATTTCCTCTTTGGAAAATTCCAAGGAATATCTGTCAAATATCACTTTGGAACTTTGAGCAAGGAGAAAGTTCTAACAAAGGAGAAAGTTCCAAGGAACTTTGAGCAAGGAGAAAGTTCCAACAAAGGTGGTAAAGGAGATGATGAGAAACTAAATCATCCTCCTTGTCAGCACTGTGGAAAGAGAAACCGTCCCCACTTTAGATGTTGGAGAAGACCCAACGTACACGATAACAAATGCAACCAGCTTGGTCATATTGCAAAATTTTGCAATAACAAAATGCAATCTAAAATAGAGGCTCAAGTGGCTAACCAACAAGAGGAAGAGGAACAGTTATTTGCAACAATTTGTTTTGCCACCAATAACAATTGTGAGAGCTAGCTGATTAACCGTGGATGCACACATCATATGACCTATATACAGATTTTTATTTCTTAAAATAATTACATCAATCTTAAAAAGAGTTATCAATAGATCTGCAAAAACATTTTTTATATTTCTTTTATCTTGATTCATATTTCTTGTAGTTACGTTAAATTGTATTTTTCTTTCAAAAGAAATTTACTATATCCAAAGAAAAGCTTCAATTTTATTAACTTGTGATTTTATTTATATAAAACCTAATGTTAACTATTACAAACGCATTACAATTTACAAATTATAAAAATATTAAATATCTTTATTTACATTTTAATTTATTTATTCATTATTGAATAATATAAGATGTTAAAAGATAAGTTTTTAAAATATTAATACTAAGTTTTTATTTGCTCATCGGTTGGGTGCATATCTAGTTTAGAAGTACTCTTGAAACTTTTTTTTTTTTTTTTTAATTTAGTAAAGAAGTGTAATTCCTTATTTGATTCACCTTTAGAAATATTAAATAATAGTTCTAATCTCAACTCAAAGCCTAAGTCAAGATCTTACGGTAACTTGAGCTCTCACACACATTAATATTAAGATTTTTTTTTAATTGATTATCTTGCGAAAGGTATGTTAATAGTTAAACTTTTTAATTAATTAATACTCAATTTTTTAATTAACGTGAAACATAGAGCTATACATTTAACAATTAAAATTAATTTTTTTTAGAAGTTTGCAAATTAAAAGTATATGACATTAATTTTTTAAAAATTATTAAAAAGATGTTTTAATTAATAAACAATCTTAATTTACCACTCTTATAAACAATCTCCTTTTATTATGGCTAATTTCTCTCCGCAACATCTATTTTATATACCTTACTTCTTAATCTTATAATCAAATACATCACATCTTAAATTTAAGTGATAGAAATAATATTTCAATTGATAGAAATTCAAAAAGTTTGAATTGATCTCCCCATCGAAGGAAAAAGAAGAATTATCTATAAGAAGAATCAAACTCAAAAAGGAAGAAATATTTCAAGCTTTTTTTTAACATAAAACACAATTTGGCTACTATACATATAGCCATCATGCAAATAATAATTACATTAAAACGCTCCTTATGACATTATTATAAGCAATGTTGCATTAAAATGCAACCCACGTTTCACTATAGTAACAAGAAAGATAACTCAAGAAATGAAAATACTAGTTCATAACAAATAGACCCAATAAGTTTGAATAAGTGAACTCAAACTCATAGCTCCACTTTCTGAACATAATCATGCCACATCGACTAAAACGGGGTCCACTAGCACCGACTTGATTCTGTTCTTTAATACGCCTTGTTGTGCAAATCCATCTCCATTTTGGTAAGCGCAGTGACAAATCCTGACTATGTTCATAATAAGTTGTATGAAAGATTTGGGGAATGGAGAGTCCATAACTAGGAATTTGTTCAAGTACTTCCATTCTTTGTCAATCAAAATTTTAAAGTACTCACGAGCTTCTTCTTCCGAATTACCAGTTTCATTCATGTAACTTAGGATTGAGTTTGAGGTTTCACCCCTCTCCATCTCATCCTATAGAAAACAAGAAACAAACAACATTACCCACGATAACGAAGTCTAATATGCTTGGGTTAGTTAATTGAGATTACCATTGCCGTTCCCAGATCATTGATAAGCCTTACAAGCTTCATTGCACAGCGTAAGATGTCATGGTAGTCAGTTAATGCTTGAAGCCCTTCCTGTGTGATGTCTAGGTCCTTACAGACTAAGAAGTACGAATGAATAAGAAGAACCCCACCTCCGACCGATATCAATGCAGTATCAAGGAACTCCTTGAATGGTGGAATGACTTTGTTGTGAAAACATCTTGCTTCATAAATGTATGCCTTGCACAAATCTATCCACTGCCAAATAATCAAGTCAGAGTTTTACTTTTACATTTACTAATAGGCAATAATTTGTTATACTGCATTACTTACAGCTTTTTTGAGGTAAGGAAGACAATTTATGCCCCGTTCCTTAAAGATGTCATAAGCCATCACATTAATAGAGTTATAGACAGCTAGGAAGCTCAATTTCAATTTGTCTGGAAGAGAATTTATGGCATCCACGTCCCATCTGATGCACATGTACATGTATATACAAAATTATGTTAACATGGATCGGACTAAAAAGTATATATAGAAACATCATCATTTGTAAAGTAAAAACTAAAATAAACTTTCTCTTCGATTTATATCAGTTGAACAAATTAACCTCACTACAGCATCTGTGAAGATCTCCATTTCATCCAAAGTGCCGTATACATCGTACGCATCATCTACGACTATGATTAGTAACCCATCTTTCATCAGTTCGTTGCGACTACTAGGAAATTGAGACTCATCAGGGATCATTCCCACCGCCCAAAAGTAGGTTTCCATTAGTCTGTCTCGAAAAAAATTCACTTTGCTTATGATGCCAATGTCCTTCGTCCACCACCTAAATAACAACACATTAATATAAATATATAGATAACTTTGCACGCCATTTATTTAAACAATGTATAATTATCTTTTTCCTTTTCTGTTTCCTCTTACCTTGACGCTTCTTTTAGTTCTTTTTGATAGGTTGATTGAACCATGTTGAAATCCAGCTTTGCTAGCTCTAACAATGAGCGATGATGCGGTTCCATTTTAGTGTATGTGTCAAAATACCGTCGTGCCTCCAACCTTGCAAGGCATCGGTGATATGGAAGCCCATCCAAGACATGCCTAACTTGTTCTCCGAGTTCCCCCTCTATTCCCTCTTTCATTAAGTTCATGAGATGTGTTCTTGAAAACTCATTTGCCTTCTCCCAGAGGCTTTCTCCTTCAAAGGCCAAGTAAGATGCTTCATAGAGACTCAACAATCCTTGCACATCTTCGCTAATGTCAGCCTTGAAATTTCCCTCTTCATCTTGGAAACTCTTAAACACATCTGCACCTCACATAATCATGCATCTTTAATAAAATGAAAGTTCTTAAAGTATGAGTAATAATTGAAGAGAGTAAGATTTTATAATATTAGAAAATATTTTTTATATACTTCTCAATAAATTATTTCACAGTTTTGTAAAAATATTTAACACTTTCACTAATTAAATAGAGGTTGAAATTAGACCTTGGGAGACATCAAAGCCATGCCCTCTAAGAATTCGGAAAAGGAGAGCAGTATCATGAAGACTTTTCTGTGACTGGTCTTTGAAGTATTCTGTTGAAATAATCATTTTAAGGGCTTTGTTTATATCATCTTCGAACCTGTGGGCCAGCCCCAACCGGTGAACGTCCTCAATGAATTCAACTAAGCTTCGTGGCTCCATGTCCGTGCTATTAATCAAAACTCGTACCATCTCCTCAAGCTTCATTGCTCTCTCTTGCACTGTTTCAGCCTACGTCCGTGCATGAATCGCATTAATAATGTATTCAACAGGTTACAAACTCATGTTTATCTGCATAGGTTAGGCCTTGCATATGTTTAACAATAAAAGAAAACAAATATGAATGAAAGATAATTAGAGGAGCGAAGACAAAGTGGCAGAAAGTGAAAATTAAATATAAAGTTAATTACCGCAAGAGGATTTCCCAGAGACTGGAGAATTTCAGGAGTCCAAATGCTGGGCGTGTAATTTGCTGAACGTCTATTTTCTTTTAGTGATAACTGGGAATCCTGTTTGGTGGCGGCACAGATGAGTTTGCCAGATCTATTGAGAAATTTGGCATTGACATGTCTATGGTGCACTTGAACACGTGATCTACATGGAACTTGTGTGGTCGACAAGCAGAAAGGAAGGCTCAATAGTTCGCTTGCCATGATGTAACCTACTACAATATGTTATGTGATGCAGATGCAGATTTTGATGTTTAGCTATGTGCATGCCTCTCTCTCTTATATAGTCGTATGACCTCAAGCAAAAACAAACAAGACAGCTACGACTTTTAAGAATTCATATCAATTTTCTCTCCAACCAAAAACTTTCTCAAATTCACCCACCAGTTCCATATTTTAGTAATTTTTAAAAAATGCAATCTACATGTTGATCCTAATAACTATGCTAAATGTTTTTAAAGGTTTAAAAAAAAAATAAGCTGTAAAAAATAATAACTACACTAAAAGCAAAAAGATTTTTAAAATGAGTAACTAATGTAACTTTTGAAACTAGAAAAAAAATCAACTATTATAAAAAAAAAAGTCATATAATGATAATTTTATATTATTGTTAGATAAAACATGACTTAAAAACCATAAAGAGATTGATTGATGAAGAAGTAATTCATATTTCTAATGTACAATTTTTTCACTAATACTATTAATGTGAAGAGAGAGTTCAATGTTCTTAGTTTCTACGGCTCTCCTTTCATTATTTTATAGAGTTAATAATAATCTAAAAAAAAATTAATAATAAGAGATTTAAAAATAAAGTAAGACATATTTTACAATTTTAACTTAAAAATCCCTTTAAAACTAAAAATTTTATTCTAATTTATTTCGCATGGATTAGTTCAAAATGAGAAAAGAGTAATATAATGTGTGCAACTTATTTTTAAAAGTTACTTTAGTTAAAAATTGTTTAAAAATTATATCCCTTTCTTTTATAAATATTAAGCTCCTTATATAACTTTTTCTCTCTAAATGTCTTGGGCCTAACTTTTTCGAAAAAAAACAATCCTTTGTCTTGAATGAAGCATACATGATCTCAACGTTATGATCACAAACAAAAACTACTGATTGTGGAGATTGAATCATGCAAGAGAACAAAATCCAGAAAGTCTCTTAAAGTATTCTTATTTTACTTACAAAGAAGTGGATA